CGCCAGCTGCTCAGACAGTGAGTTCACACACACACACACACACACACACACACACACACGAACACACATGAACACGAACACACTCATTTAGACGTTCACAGTGTCATGGGACAGCTGAGTGTGTGTGTCTCAGGACAGAAAGCTGAGTCAATCTTCTTAATGGAGATTAACACTTTTAATGGGAATCAAACACTAATCCACTGGGACCAGAGCTGTGTGTGTGTGTGTGTGTGTGTGTGTGTGTGTGTGTGTGTGTGTGTGTGTGTGTGTGTGTGTGTGTGTGTGTGTGTGTGTGTGTGTGTGTGTGTGTGTGTGTGTGTGTGTGTGTGTGTGTGTGTGTGTGTGTGTGTGTGTGTGTGTGTGTGTGTGTGTGTGTGTGTGTGTGTGTGTGTGTGTGTGTGTGTGTGTGTGTGTGTGTGTGTGTGTGTGTGTGTGTGTGTGTGTGTGTGTGTGTGTGTGTGTGTGTGTGTGTGTGTGTGTGTGTGTGTGTGTGTGTGAATGGAGGATTGTGTGAGGCCTCCTGCGATCGGAGAGGCTGGTACAGAGAGACCCCCCCCCCCTCTCTCTCTCTCCCTCTCTCTGTGAACAAACACACTACATGTTATTCAGAATTAAACCTCCGTGCTCTGAGGATAAAGCTCTAACGCTGCTCTCAGGTCAGCCAGGTCGTCCTCTAGGTGTCCCGGGGTGAAGGTACAGTACAGAGATTAGGTTCCTTTGAGCGAGTAGCTTCTTTTGGACCTTTGCTTGATTCTGATTGGATAATGCAAGTTAAAGGGTAATTGTACTTCTTTGCAAGTATTATCACATTTGTGGATTGCATTATTTTGAACCATGTCTTCCTACTTGCATCTGCACAAAGACGTGTTACTGTATCTTATTTCTTACTTTTTACATTTGATTTAGACTGTTGTTTTTATTCGTATCCTTGTGTGACCGTATCTATACTCTGCTGTGTTTTCACTTGTATTCCTCTGTTGCTGTTCTGACACCTTACATCCAAATCAGACCAAACTTGTTTTGTATTTGTCATGTCTAAACATTGAATAAAGTGCTAAATAATTATAAAATTAAAGAAATATTACAGGTCAATGAAATCAGCCACTCAGTTATTGATAGTTGTGCAAAAGAAAACTAGACTTTTCTTGCCAAATATTCTGTATTTCCTCCATCTTGTTAAACCCTGACTGAGCTGCAGCTTTGCACAGAGGACATACAGTGTGCTAGAGTTTCTCAACGTGGTGGCACGGCCCTTTTTAAAGACGCTGCTCCATTGATGATTGTTGTGTTGTGAGGCTGAGCGGGTACAGCAAGGCACCAGCGCTGCAGGAAGAGACTGGGAAACTGAATGGAGAGTTCAGTCCGGGGAGACAGACGTTTATAAAAGTCTCTGGAGAAGTCGGAGAAGGTCAATGGGTTTTACAGGTCCGAGTACATCACATTACATTACATTGCATTTAGCTGACGCTTTTATCCAAAGCGACTTACAATAAGTACATTCGACCAACAAAATACAAACTAGAAGAAAACAGAATCATATAAGTACATCAAGTTTCATAGAGCAAAAACATTTCAAGTGCTACTCAACTGGCTATAGATAAGCCAGACCTTTATTAGTATATAAGTGCTTTGTTAGTAATTATTTGTTAGTCATTTTGTTGCTCGAAGTGGAGTCGAAAGAGTTGAGTTTTCAGTCTGCGCCGGAAGATGTGCAAGCTATCTGCCGTCCTGATGTCAATGGGGAGCTCATTCCACCATTTTGGAGCCAGGATAGCAAACCCACGTGTTTTTGCTGATGGGAACTTGGGTCCCCCTCGCAGTGCGGGTGCAGCGAGACGTTTGGCCGATGCAGAGCGAAGTGCACGCGCTGGGGTGTACGGTTTAACCATGTTGACTTTGACTTTTCACATGAACTCCTGATTCTCCTCTGACCTTTCTCTTGTCTCTCCGTCTCCCCCTCAGATACCTGCAGGAGGTCGGCTACACGGACACCATCCTGGATGTGAAGTCTCAGAGAGTGAGATCGCTGCTCGGTCTGACCGGAGACTCAGGAGACAAACCTTCAGAGAACAAAGCCGAACACATGGTGAACGGCACCGAGCCGTCCTCCATGAAGGACAGCGGCATGGTCAGGTAGGAGAGGAAACTGTTGATGTGACGCTCTAAAAAATCCCAGTTTGTATTACCATACGATACGATACTTTAAAGGTCACCTATTATGCAAAATCCACTTCTTCATGTCTCTTCTACATCAACATGTGTCCCCTCTTCTTCATGTCTCTTCTACATCAACATGTGTCCCCTCTTCTCCATGTCTCTTCTACATCAACATGTGTCCCCTCTTCTTCATGTCTCTTCTACATCAACATGTGTCCTCTCTTCTCCATGTCTCTTCTACATCACATTGTGTCCCCTCTTCTTCATGTCTCTTCTACATCAACATGTGTCCCCTCTTCTTCATGTCTCTTCTACATCAACATGTGTCCCCTCTTCTCCATGTCTCTTCTACATCAACATGTGTCCCCTCTTCTCCATGTCTCTTCTACATCAACATGTGTCCCCTCTTCTCATGTCTCTTCTACATCAACATGTGTCCCCTCTTCTTCATGTCTCTTCTACATCAACATGTGTCCCCTCTTCTCCATGTCTCTTCTACATCAACATGTGTCCCCTCTTCTTCATGTCTCTTCTACATCAACATGTGTCCCTCTCTTCTCCATGTCTCTTCTACATCAACATGTGTCCCCTCTTCTTCATGTCTCTTCTACATCAACATGTTCCCCTCTTCTTCATGTCTCTTCTTCTACATCAACATGTGTCCCCTCTTCTTCATGTCTCTTCTACATCAACATGTGTCCCCTCTTCTCTCATGTCTCTTCTACATCAACATGTGTCCCCTCTTCTTCATGTCTCTTCTACATCAACATGTGTCCCCTCTTCTTCATGCCTCTTCTACATCAACATGTGTCCCCTCTTCTTCATGTCTCTTCTACATCACCATGTGTCCCCTCTTCTTCATGTCTCTTCTACATCAACATGTGTCCCCTCTTCTTCATGTCTCTTCTACATCAACATGTGTCCCCGCTTCTCATGCCTCTTCTACTCAACATGTCTCTTCTACAATCAACATGTGTCCCCTCTTCTTCATGTCTCTTCTACATCAACATGTGTCCCCTCTTCTTCATGTCTCTTATACATCAACATGTGTCCCCTCTTCTTCATGTCTCTTCTACATCAACATGTGTCCCCTCTTCTTCATGTCTCTTCTACATCAACATGTGTCCCCTCTTCTTCATGTCTCTTCTACATCAACATGTGTCCCCTCTTCTTCATGCCTCTTCTACATCAACATGTGTCCCCTCTTCTTCATGTCTCTTCTACATCACCATGTGTCCCCTCTTCTTCATGTCTCTTCTACATCAACATGTGTCCCCTCTTCTTCATGTCTCTTCTACATCAACATGTGTCCCCTCTTCTTCATGCCTCTTCTACATCAACATGTGTCCCCTCTTCTTCATGTCTCTTCTACATCAACATGTGTCCCCTCTTCTTCATGTCTCTTCTACATCAACATGTGTCCCCTCTTCTTCATGTCTCTTATACATCAACATGTGTCCCCTCTGTGGAAAGAGACGGAAAGTTTCAGGAAAAAAGATTCTCTCTCTTTTTGATCCATTTCTATAAAAACCTGTCTGAAAATGAGCTGATCAGATTTTGGACACTTTATGATGTCATAACGATTTTTTTGGCTTGAGTAACCATTAGCCAATCAGCAACCAAGGTTACCCCCCCCCCCCACCTTATCACCTGAATCTCCTCCTAGAGCACCATTGAGTTCTTTGTAACCAAATCTCTCTCAGAGGGGCGTGGGGGAGGGGCTCCTTATTTTCATCTAAAGTAACAGACAGAGAATCAGCACTTTGGAAGCAGGGCTGAAACAGAGGGGATTATGGGATGCTGCAATGATCTGTTTGGTGTTTCAGCCAATCAGAGACAGGTTCTGTATATATCTGAACCTCAAAGAGCCTTCAGCCTGGATTTGATCTGGATTCAGCTCTGTATTCACTGTGAGGTTTGACTGGAGCACAAAGGATGCTTCAGTCTGACTTCATTGTATCTCCGATTAGATGGTAGCAGTTGTCTTGTTTTATTACCAGACTAACCTCCTCTCTTTACTCTCTCTCTTCTTCCAGTAAACCTGACCTGTCGGACTCGGCCACGGTGTTGGAGGCCTTTAAATTCATCGAGAGCGCTGCAGCAGAATTCAGCGACGATGATGATGAGGAAGACAGCGAAGGGAGGGACAAGACCATCTTAAACATGGCCACAGTAAGACATTTACACACTTCTTTCAAACTGCTGTTACCCTTCAGCAAATCACAGCTCTTGGTAAAGTTGTGGAGGAGGTATTCAGATCCCCAACCTTCCACTACGTGTAAGAGGTCTGCATTTAGGCAAGGCAAGGCAAGGCAAGTTTATTTATATAGCACTTTTCAACACAAGGCAATTCAAAGTGCTTTACAAAAAATGAAAGAGATTAAGAAAATGGCATTTAAAATCAGTCATTAAAAAGAAAAGCTAATAAAATAAACATTAAAAGAAAAAAATACATGGCAGTCAATTAAACATTAAAAGAAAAAAGTACATGGATAAAAGTTACAGTGCAGTCTAAGATATGAATAGTTCAATTAAAAGCAGCGACAAAAAGAAAAGTCTTCAGCCTCTTAAAACCTTACTTTAGTCAAATCATGTGAGTACTATCAGGGAAATGTACTTCAAGTAACTTTAAGTACTCACTGTGCAGTTAAATGTTCCCTGTCAGTGTTTTACTATTATACAGAATATGATGATTTTGGATTCATATTGGCATCGATGTGTATGTATGTTGAGATTATTTGAACTCCTATAAGATAAGAGTTAAGAGGTACTTTATTGATCCCAAATTCGGGAATGTTTGCATTGCAGCAGCTTAAAAACAACACAACAAAACAAGGCATTGCACATAAGTAGATATTGAAGAGTAGAAAAAAACAATACTAGAATTGAAACATCTCAAAATAGAATTAAAGCAGCATTAAAAAGTAGAAAATACACATGAGGCCGTATATATACTGTTGGGTAGTTTAAATTACAGCAATGCGTAACATTCTGTAAAATCATTATGTGTTTGCAGCCTCACCACCCAGAGGGGAAACATGTCAAAAGTCTAAAAAAAAGTCTTGATTTTCTCAGAAAAACGTTTTCAACTTTGTGACGATACATTTTCAAGTATATCCAAAAAGCTTTAAGAGTTTATTTACCCTAAGAAGGTCATTTCTTCTCAACACATAAGGATCACCTTATTCTTCAGTTTATCACAAACATTCAAAAATCAACACATCTGGAGATGAATGATCTTCACTGTACAGGAAGGGGAGGACAAGCTGTCAGACGTCTGTAGTGGAGTTAACCGTAGTATGAGGTTGAAGGAAATACAGATACCTGAAGTTTGTACTTCAGTGCAGTTCTTAATGGGGTGGGAAGTAGAGGAGTACAAATACTTTGTTACTGTACTTAAGTACATCTTTCTGGTATCAGTACTTTACTCCACTACTTATTTTTCTGGCGACTTTTTACTTTGACTTCTTACATTTCTAACACAAATACCTGTACTTTCTACTTCTTACATGTTGAACACAAATACCTGTACTTTCTACTTCTTACATGTTGAACACAAATACCTGTACTTTCTACTTCTTACATGTTGAACACAAATACCTGTACTTTCTACTTCTCACATGTTGAACACAAATACCTGTACTTTCTACTTCTTACATGTTGAACCCAAATACCTGTACTTTCTACTTCTCACATGTTGAACACAAATACCTGTACTTTCTACTTCTTACATGTTGAACTCAAATACCTGTACTTTCTACTTCTTACATTTTGAACTCAAATACCTGTACTTTCTACTTCTTACATGTTGAACCCAAATACCTGTACTTTCTACTTCTTACATGTTGAACACAAATACCTGTACTTTCTACTTCATACATGTTGAACTCAAATACCTGTACTTTCTACATCTTACATGTTGAACACAAATACCTGTACTTTCTACTTCATACATGTTGAACTCAAATACCTGTACTTTCTACTTCTTACATGTTGAACCCAAATACCTGTACTTTCTACTTCATACATGTTGAACTCAAATACCTGTACTTTCTACATCTTACATGTTGAACACAAATACCTGTACTTTCTACTTCATACATGTTGAACTCAAATACCTGTACTTTCTACATCTTACATGTTGAACACAAATACCTGTACTTTCTACTTCATACATGTTGAACACAAATACCTGTACTTTCTACTTCTTACATGTTGAACCCAAATACCTGTACTTTCTACTTCATACATGTTGAACACAAATACCTGTACTTTCTACTTCTTACATGTTGAACACAAATACCTGTACTTTCTACATCTTACATGTTGAACACAAATACCTGTACTTTCTACTTCTCACATGTTGAACACAAATACCTGTACTTTCTACTTCTTACATGTTGAACTCAAATACCTGTACTTTCTACTTCTTACATGTTGAACTCAAATACCTGTACTTTCTACTTCTTACATGTTGAACTCAAATACCTGTACTTTCTACTTCTCTCATGTTGAACCCAAATACCTGTACTTTCTACTTCTCACATGTTGAACACAAATACCTGTACTTTCTACTTCTTACATGTTGAACACAAATACCTGTACTTTCTACTTCTTACATGTTGAACACAAATACCTGTACTTTCTACTTCTCTCATTTTCCAAACAGCTGGTTCCTTTAGTCTGAATGTGTGTTTGGTGCGTGATCATTATTATTTAGAGTCATTGCGTGCCTATTGATTTGAACACGATCCGTGTATCCATCATTTCCTGGTCTTCTCTAAAGAAGAGGGACCAATGGAAACGTTGTCACGTTGCCGTTGTTCAGCATGGAAACATTCATTAGCTAACAACGACATTATTGTTCTATTAATATAAAGGGAGGTCAGGTACTCTTTAAAACAGCTGCTAGTTATGGGTACTTTTTACTGAAGTACATTTCAAAGCCCTTACTACTTTACTTCTACTTGAGTAAATGATGTGTGTACTTTTACCATCTCTGGTCACAGGTATGATTATGGTATATTTGAGCATACATGTATTTTACTAACATAAGATACAGAGGATTTAAGGCTTCATCATTCCACCTTAGTGAAAATATTCAAACTATCTCTGGCTCCTCAAGACATTCCTGAAACTGCTTCAAGCTGCAGAAAGGAGACGGAGGTGACCTGCGGTTTCATTTCCTGTTGGGATGTTGTCAGCAGTAAGAGACATATTTTGAGTCTTCCTCATCTGTGTAACTCCTAACAGATGGTGAGGAAGAAGCATTCGTCTACGCCTTCCTCCACGACCTCTGACCTCAGCGATGACCCCGACACAGAGGAGGCTCTGAAGGGCTTC